CCCGGGTGTGAGCTGGCCAGGTTAGACACGGTTCACGGTGGTGTGCTCTGTGCATGGAGGCAGCCCATCCGTTCAGTTTTTCCTTTCAGCCAGTGCCAGGCTGGGCCATGGGCCTGAAAGGAGAGCTGCAGAGGGGTCCCTGGCAAACACCCCTGCACACCCCAGGCAGCGTTCAGCTACAGCCCAGGGAGTGCTCTGGGTTGGGGATCTGATTTAACCTGGCCTCCCGGCTGCCCCGGGCAGCAAATGCATCCCCATTGGGTGCTGTCTGGCCATGAAGTGCTGTCCGAACGCAAAGTGTCTAAGGGCTCAGCGGTTTGGAAGGAGAGCGCCGTAAGCCCTGGCTTGTATCCAGAGCGGTGGTCTCCGGTGGTGAGTAACTTCAGAGGGGCTAACCCACCACCCAGACTTGCTACCTCAGTGCAGTGGTTTCAACCCACTGGAGGCTTCAGAGGGTAGGAAATGTGTCTGTCTTGGGAACAGAGACACACTGTGCCAGTAGCCAAGGGGACGCTGGCCGCAGCACGCTAAGAACAGACCTTGACACGGGGCATGAACAAGAATTGCTTCCCCCCCTCTGCGGTGCAGCCACCTCGGGTGGGGGGCGGGGAGGCTCCCCGGTTCATGGTGTGGGGCAAGCGCTGAGGACAGGAAGTGGAGAGGAGCTGACACTGAGAAGGGGGAAGCACCAAGCAACCAGGAGTTCAGCTTCATTTCCTGTCTGAAAGAAGTGCCCTAGGTGTGGATTCCTCAGCTGGAGGGGCAGGGCGGGGTCTCCCCTTGCAGCTTGTGTTGACTTTTTCTTCACTTCCTCCCATCCATCCTCTCTGGTTAGCAGTTAAACACCCGTGGGGTGCGAGAGCCAGTTCATCTGAGAAGGGGGAAGCACCAAGCAACCAGGAGTTCAGCTTCATTTCCTGTCTGAAAGAAGTGCCCTAGGTGTGGATTCCTCAGCTGGAGGGGCAGGGCGGGGTCTCCCCTTGCAGCTTGTGTTGACTTTTTCTTCACTTCCTCCCATCCATCCTCTCTGGTTAGCAGTTAAACACCCGTGGGGTGCGAGAGCCAGTTCATCTGGGCCTCTTGGAAGGGGGCTGGAGGCTGCAGGCTGCTCTCTGCACCTGCTCAGAACTTTGCCTGCCCGCCTCAGAGTGAAACTAACGAGGGGTTGGTCACTTTCACAGCTGCCCTTGGCTCAGAGGGGTGCTGGTACTAGAACAGTGGCTGTCTCCCATCTCCCCACCCCACTGCCAGCAGAACCAGCCCTGCAATGGGGAGCGTCCCAGGTAGGGGGCTGGAGGCTGCAGGCTGCTCTCTGCACCTGCTCAGAACTTTGCCTGCCCGCCTCAGAGTGAAACTAACGAGGGGTTGGTCACTTTCACAGCTGCCCTTGGCTCAGAGGGGTGCTGGTACTAGAACAGTGGCTGTCTCCCATCTCCCCACCCCACTGCCAGCAGAACCAGCCCTGCAATGGGGAGCGTCCCAGGTGAGGGTCTCCGTGGGGGGGCCCTGGGGCAGCCTCTTTGGCAGGGCTCTGGCTAGTTGCAGGCCCTGGGGTTCCCATCCCTTTCCTTGCTTGGGTGAGCGATGAGCCTTCTGCTTTTTTCATGGAACATGTGACTCCAGGGGGAAGCAGCGTCTCCCATCGCGGAGCGCCTGCTGTTTGGCACCTCTGTGTTGATCTGCGAGGTCCAGCGTGCCGGTGCCAGCAGCAGTGCCCCGGTGGATAACATGCTGCGCCTGGGGGAGGGGTGGGAGAGCCTGCCGGTCGGTGCCCCACTTTCCCCAGCTCTGCCCTGGCTGGGCTCTGAGTGGGAGCTGGGGGTGGCTGTGCTGTCTCCCAGGGTGCAGGGAGGTGACCCCTGTTCTCATGGAGGTCCCATGGCCAGGGAGTTGGGTCCATTCAGCCAGTTGTGAATTGTCGACAGTTGTGTCTGTTCTGTGGTTCTTGCCTGCTTTGCCCTGGCAGGAGAGCGGCCCCCTCTCCTTCCGACGGGCTGAGACAGGAGCGAGTTCTTTCCCCATGGCTCGCCGGGGGGCACAGAGGCTGCGTCTGTACTCCCCTTCTCTCCAGGGACCCCCGCAGTGCGCAGGGCACCGGCCCCAGAGATCCCCTCCCCCCCTGCAGCGTGCTGGGTGCCAGTCCCAGAGACCCCCCTGCATTGCTCTGAGCATCGGCCCTGGAGGACTCCCCCCTCCCCCACACGGTGTGCTGGGTGCTGGCCCAGAGACACCCCCCCTTGTAGTGCGCTGGGAGCCGTCCCCGGAGACCCCCCATGCTGCATTCAAGCTGCTGTCACTCAGTGCCTCAGTTTCCCCAGCTGTAAGCCGAGGATGCGATTTCCTCCGCCTCCCTTCCCCGCTGAGTGGCTGTGAAGCACTTTGAGGCCTGAAAGGGCTAAGGAAGCAAAGGGTAGCACCATTGTTATTAACCCCCTCCCCCCTCCGCATCGAAATGCTCCTCCCCTCCCATCCGCCCCAGTAAAGGAGCCAAGCCCTGCAAGACAGAAATAAAAGCTCTTCCGTGCCCCAAGCCGAGCAGTTACCCAAAGCAGAGAGATGTGCCAGAGGCTCCAGGATGCCCACTGGGGTTTTGGCTGTGGATTTGATGTGGCAGGTGCCCAGATGCCATGGTGATGGGCATGGAACCCTGGATTGTTCTGGCCATAGGCAGGGCTGTGCCCCGTTACAGTAGCGCTCAGGAGCTCAGCTGCGCCAGGCGCTGCACAAACAGAGTGGCCCTCCTCTGGTCCCAGCCTGCTGACTCTGGGTTTTTTCCCCCTTTTTTTAAGTGTATTTTTCTTCCAATTTAAAAAAAACCTCCCGGCCAAAGCCTGGCCCGGGCATGGCACCCGGCACCGCGCGCTCGGCTGACAGCGCCGCCCTGTTTCCACAGAGATCCATGGTGCGCTGGGACCTCGGACGCTGCAGTCTGCCCGCTCCCTGCCGGGGACTCCGCATTGCCTGAAGCACTTCCCTGTCGACCTGCGCACCTCCATGGATGGCAAGTACAAGGAAATCGCTGAGGTAGCCGCCTGCCTGCCCCATGTTCCCCGTCAGCCTTCAGTGTCTCCCCATGCACATCCCTCCCTCTCCTCCGGCCCCGCCTGTCTGGGCCTCCCTGCACACCCCCATCCCTCCCTCTCCTCGGGCCCCGCCTGTCTGGGCCTCCCTGCACACCCCCATCCCTCCCCCTCCTCCGGCCCCGCCCCCCCTGGTC